GCGCATCCGTAAGAACCCTTGAAAGTTGGAGTTCGGAATAACAATGGATAAGTTTGCAAGGTGTCGTGGTCTTAGGAGCGTTATCTAAAACATCAGTACATGCTATGTGTGTTCTTGATGTGTTTTCTTCTAAATAATATCTCAATCGAATGGTTAAATTCCATCGCATTGTTTTCAAAACTAATAATAAAATGGATATAGACATACAGTGGTGTAATCTTAAAATAATTTACAAGTCCAGTGTTTTTATTTCAAAGATCTAACAAAAAATAGAATATTATGTTTCGTTAATTGATTTGCATCTAAAGACTGTACCGAACTCGACTTGACCTAACTGAATCAATATGTTACATTTGAAGAGTGATGCGATTTTTTTTCAAGATCTAAACAAGATCTTTTACTATGCTATTAGTAGGAAACTCAATCCGGTGTTTGGTCATTTGAACATTTTGTACAAGTTTTTTTTTGTTGATATTTCATAAACTAAAATATATATGACGACATTGATCACTGACAGCGCTTGTATACCGTTTTCATTATATTTTATTATTTTTTTTTTCGTGGGTATGTTATACTTCTATTGTGTATGAAAAAGCGTATACTCCAAGAGGGTCCAACCCCCATAATCCCCATCTGCCACCCCCACGTTATTTTTTCATCTTCCGTAGATTCGATGACAACCAAATATCACGATATTATGAACCCTAAGAAAACAACAGCCGCTAACCGTGATGATGTCATGACATCAATTTTTAGATTGGATTTCGGAGAATGCGATGTTAATTACATTGGTTTTAATTAAAAACGAATAGTATTTATGCAAGGTAGAGAATCCGACTTGGCCACAGTGCATTACCCGACTTCCGGTCAGCGAAACTAGAAAAAAAAGGGTTAACCTTTAACTGAAAAAACAACAGTGGTTTCTAAATAATAATTTAGCGGTACACTTACAACTATATTGTGTACCGCAGTATTTCCGGCTAACGGAAATAGCGTCGTAACGAGCATAGCGATTTATCTGTTCAAACGGTATACATTGTGGTTATCCTATGTCCAGTGGTCGAGACTTTCACGTTTAAACTGTGTTGCAAACAATTTAATCGCACAGGCTTACAGGTTAACTATAATTATAAAAAGTTACTAAAGTCAGCTTTGTCTGTTACACAAAAATACCAACAGTCCATAAGGAAATGTTACTATAGTACGTCATTTCTGCAGAAGGTCCTTATAAAAAAATAATCAACTAGTAACATTTACCTAATTAATTATAATCCGCCGAGAAGTCTCAACTGCGGTTCGTTTAGGTAGTTTTATATTTTAATGCGATTTTTTCAATTACAATGCAATCGATTTTAATTAAAACCCAAACAGGAGAAGTTTTTTTTTTTTTGTATCACAGCGTGGGACTTCATCGTGGATTTAAAACACAGTGGGTCGTAGGTATAAGACATTATAGGTAACGCTCAACATTGATTTGTTACAAATTAATATTCTTGCTTTAATTTTTTTCTCGAGTGTCCTATAAACTCGAACGGTGTACAATTAATACCATTAAATATGTTAATGGTTTATTGCAAATGCCAAACAATTGCAATTCGCAGTTGCAATAAAGCAATATTTCGGGTGATCCATAAAATAAATTAGCACTGTACCGTTAGGTTTCATTGTAGTTTTAATTTAACATTTGTTTGGAAGTTTGTATAGCAAATAGAAAAGTTACTAAAATTACACTACCTTAAAGAATAGCTCTCGTTAAATTGTAATAAACTGTTACTTATATTAAACCAGAGGTTTATACTTCATTTTTTTAAATTTATTAATGTACTTATAGTCTTAATTTATTCAACTGAATAATACTACAATAATTATATGTTTAACAGTTTGAATTGTGTAAAAACACATAAGTGATAAGGCATAATATATCAAAAGGTTACTGAAAATTTAAGAGCTTAACTATACTTTCTTTAAGTAATATTAACTTGTATATTAATTTAAAACTTAAAATTGATCTATTCAAAGTAGTTCTTACACGGTATGAGTAGAGCTATAAACATGTTTAAAATCACCTTAGTGATCCATGAGAGATTAGCTTGATTAGTTTCCAATCGTATTTTCAGAAATCCGTCTTCAGAGATATAGTCACCGTTTGACTATATCAAATACGCTAGGTTTTGATTCAAATCGTTCATTCAAAATTAAATGATGAAAAATTATTTTATTTGTTGAATGTCGACAATCTTTTTAGCAGTGCAGTGGCATTTCAACAAAATAAAAATAATTATAAAATTTAATAATTTTGTGTTAATTGAGGGATAGCGTTCTGTGATTGTTGTCAATTGACTCGAGAATTTGTATGTGCCTTGCGGTGACAGATGAGTAAAATCCATTTTAAATTTGTACAAGTACTGGGTTGAACCCATCCACAGTCGCAATAGCTGCACACAACTCCGGTAAGCTGTTTAAATAAAATGTCATTAGTACCTAATATAAACTATATATATATATATTCAACGAAATTAAATGTTTGTATAATAAATATTTAGAATCAAGTATTCACAATTAAAGTAAATCTATCTACCGGAGTTGGGCATTGTGTTGAATGAAATAAAAGAAGTAGCCAGACCTATAGGTAATTTAGAAATTACAGTAGCAGTAAGAATGATAGGGAACAGGCAAAATATAGGAAGAAAAATAAAGTAGTAATTTTACTAATAGCTTTTAGGTATTACTGTTAAGAGATAACTAACAGAGATAATATAATAAAATATGATGAAAGTTTGGGTTAAACTTTTGGGGTTGAATAGTTGAATATACACTTCCATTTATTTGGCACTGTACTTTGTATACAGTAATTATTACTAGGTTTATGAAAAGAAAATATGTACTTAAAGTATTTCTCATCATTAACGTCAAAGTCGTGAACGGCAGAGTAAAGAGAAATGTTGAAAGATGTCTTTATAAACTCATTTGCGAAAAATAATGAATTCTATTAATAGTTTTGCTTCGCATTAGATCGTCAACTGTGAGATGATTATAGTTGGAGAAAATGTTATGCAATGATGGTAGAAAAATTCTTATTCTACATTAATGTTCATACCGAAGACTGAAATGAGCACTGCGGTCGATGGTAATAACTTATGATTTGTATATTCACGGCTTTAGGAAATGGTGAAACTTTTTGAAATTTCAACTAATTATATTAACCAGTTGCAATGTAATGTCATCCATTAATTAAAATATATTGAAACTACAAAATCACGATAAGCATATTAATTGAGTTATTACATAAAGTTAACAATAATAATTTTGTATTTAGTATTATCAGAATGGTGTATTTTTTAAATTATATTAGTCTTTTTGATTTTGGCTATAAAAAACCGAGATTTAATTTGGAGGCCCTTATTTTACTACAATAATACTTTTAAAGCAGTTTCAAGATCATAAGTAAACCGAATTTTCGAAGAGGTCCTTAAAGTTTTTGCAATACTGCTGTATCTTTATAATGTGGAAACAAACGTGATCGCTGTGATGATAAAAGTACAATAACACAATATAGGTAGTATTTTTTTGTACAGGCTACGTCGTAACAGTGTTCTATATGTTTTTGAACAAATATATATTATTATAAAATTATAAATATAGGCACATCGTACGTTTATAATCACAAACAAAATTGACATTTATTTCTTTATAATATAATATTGTTCCTTCTATTTTATCGTTAAAAAATTATTCAACCGTATTATCTCAACCCGTCCACGTTCTCATTGAGGAGCTTAAAAGGTAATGAAGTGTACGCCGCTGTAAACAGTAATAATAATAATAATAGTAATAAAAAATCCCCTTTTATTCAAATGTAGGTCACTGAAGTAGTAGTAGCCTATACCGATCTCATCGTGATCCACGTTGCCGTTAAAACCGTTTGTTATGTAATATTTCCATAACGGCACGCTTACCCCGTCCAAAAGTCACCAGGTTGGCGGAATTCGATAACTGCAATAATGATATAAGACTTCCAAGTCGAACCACACAGCTGCTACCCTCTAAATGCGATAAGACCCAGCCAGCAGATCTTTGTCGCTGTGTCTTTTATGTTCACTTTTACTCCTTATATAGATACGTATTGATTTTTCAATAGTAAAATGTACGACACGCTGTTGGACGAGAACACAGTCTGTACCTACCTATAGTAATTTCAAAAACAAGTTGTCTCCATCTGTAGGCAAACCGACGGTGCCAAAACAAACGGCATATTATAGTGTTTTGTAAAGCGAGTTATTTAGTTTGAACACTATAATCTATCAGAATAATTAATAAACCGACGACACACGCCGACAATCTACTGCTGCACAGGTCCAGTGTGTGTTTTGGCTGTTAACAAAAGCCCTATAATTAGAACATTGATCAATGTATATGTTTGCCCGGCCTTTGAAGTATAGAATAACATGCAAAATAATTCATAACTGCCTAGTTAAAACTAAAACTATCAGTATAATGATATGAAAAAAAAAACACTGAAGTTGAATAACGACTCTAATAAATACATTTAAACGAAATTGTAAATTTCTTTTTTACAATTTTTTCGGGAACTTGAAAAATTAAGAAATATATCAGCTTAGATGCGTAGCTAAGAAGGTATTGTTGAAAATTGTAAAGTAGATTTATACCGAACTTAAGCAACACTGTGGTCGTATACTTATATATTATAGTAATAAATAAAATAATTAAAAACCCCTTTAACCACAAAAGTTGAAAAGATTTTCTGTGTTTAAAGATTTTTAAAGTTAAGGGCAGTTATATAAAAACGTAGGCTACTGCCATATAATTAATATGTAAAATGTTCTAAGACAATTACTTTATTTAAAATTGCATAGCTCGATTACATACACATATTACTTAAACGGTATGTTTGTACGTCGGTACGACTGCACGAAGTTTATTTACACTAAACGACATTGTAATAGATTTAACTACTAAAATTATATAATTTAAAAAATTACCTGTCTATACTGATCGCCACCAAGTTGAATATGGACGACGTGCTGCAAATCACGTCCATGGCAATATAGAAATCGCAAACAAATGGTGGTAAGCCCCATTTTCCGTTTACCTGAAAAAAAAAATATTAAAAAATAAGTGTTTGGTGGCAGTATTCCAGGTCCAGTTATAATGAACCAACTTGTGTGCCCTGAACGGTATTTCATATTATTTTTGTAGGCGCTGTACTATAGCGACGATAGTTTTGCTAGTGGGCAGAGATTCTCAAAATAAAACCTCAAAATGTTTGATTTTTTATTCCGAAATGATTTTCAAGTTTTTCGGGTTTCAGCTTAGGGTCTGAAAACGTTTTTTTCAAGTATCAGCTTTTGGCTCTGAAAACTATCCATTTGTTTGAAGCTCCCTGTTTTTCCCCCTTAAAATATGTGACGGAAAATGAATTATCAAACTTGTTTTTACAAAGGAACGTGACGGTAGATCATGAATTCTAGATAAGGAAACTACTAGAAGCGCCAAATGAAATATTGAAAAAAAATTATTTTAAAACCATTGAGCGACAATTAAATGATGAATCTCTAGAAATCCGAGTTGGGAGAAAATCTTCAAAAATAACTCTTAGAAAGTGTACCCCGACTTCCTCGAATATACAGAATTCCGAAGATTCACAAAGAAGGAGACTTAGGCCGTCAAGCAGCACAATCAACAAGTCAAAATTGAAGGATATTTAGCAAGAAAGCTACAATGTAATGTCGAGAAAACCGAATTGTTTGTAAAGGATTCAAGTAGTTTTGTGAATATCCTAGGATAACAAATTGGTCTAGTGGAGCTACATCAGTATTTTTTGACGTTATTTGATTGTTCACAATGGTACCGGTTGAAAACATTAGAAATCACTTGCATGAAGGCAATAGAGCTGTTTATCTAATGTAAGATCTCTGCGTTTTCACGTACAAACAACGATTACACTACGAGCAAACGGACGGCAAGGCGATAGGATAAAGATTAGCGCCAGTTTTTGCTAATATTTTCATGGAATAGTTCGAACAAGATGCGACAAAGAAAATAAATCAAAAGGAATAGAAACTGAGCGAGAGGTTTAAACCAGTAATAAGCCAACACTAAGATGAGGTCCAGATGCACGGTCGCGGTGAACATCAAGAGAAGTAAAATCAAGCGGAGCGGGGTAGAAGGACGAAAATCATAATGGGAGGGTGTAAGACGGAGTGGAGCACACATTGGCACATATAATTTACGATCACAAAGAGACGGTTTCTTAAGTCTACAGGCATCAGTTGAACGAACGTCGTAACCAGCACGGAACACAGCTCTTAAGATGGAAGATGAAAGGCTTTCGAGAGATGTTGACAAAGTCAATACATAAATACAGGTTTAACTGGAATAACCTTATATATAATATCAAACAGCATAATAGCCTATACAAACTTTAACAAATTTATAACAGCTATGCTATGCCGGATGTCACGGAGATAAATGTACGTTTAATATTTTAGTGAGAATAATCGGATGAGAAAAATATCACATAATTAGTTTTCCTTTGTTGTACAACATGAAACGAGTTATAATTAAAATAGTTTATCAGTCGACATTGTTTTCGTCGTCTATCACACGCACGTCCCATCAAAGGAATAACGTTATGAATTCCATCATATTCCGTTGTTCGTGCCGCTGCTGCCTGTAGACTGAAACGATCATCTCTACGTTTATTTGTTACTCCTTCTACCCGCTCCCCGCTACCGTCTGGACATCTTCTTAGCCGGCAAAGCCAGAATGTAATAATATTATGTAGGTGTGACTGAAAAAATTTTTGTAAATATTTTAAATAACAAACTACGTTTACTACTCCCTCGCTGTAGACACCGGAAGCATAATATGAATCTTGATGGGTTTTAGATGGTGAACTCATTTCTCTACTGCGGTCTGTCTGACGAGGGTTTAATATCACATCGTATTATAAATGGTATTTTAAACTCAAACGCCACGTTGCCTAGTCTACATAATAATACGTGTTGCCATAACGGTTTAGTAATTTTAATCCGAGAGTTGACTTCTTTTTTTCCGTTAAAGTTTTGCCAGCGATATTATTGGATGTTTACACGGCTAAGCTTCCTTTATTGTCTTTGCCACCCGCGCGGCGCATTATAGGCAGTTTAATACAACTGCGGTTATATGCCGCCGTTCTTTATTAAATTTAAATCGCACGCATCTTGTTTGCTTGCTACCACATTTCATATTGTACTACGTATTACAGTGTTCGGCGCACACAAATTATATTATAATGTATATATATATATATATGGTATTTACATGCGTCGTTTGAAGTGTTTCAGTAGATTTGGATTTCTCAAAACGTTTAAATTAAAATACTAGCATGGGACAAAGGCAAAATATAAATAAATAAATAACTTTAAAGTTCAACGTACCGAATCCGACTTATTAATGAATTTGTTTGCGACATACAGAATTCTATGACTCAGAGCTCACTATATAAATGGCTTCACATAGTATATTCACAGAGGTTTATTGTAGTGGAGCTATAATAGAGTCGATTTTTTTTTTGTAACACGTTTAAGGGACTCAGAGTGTATATTAAGCATTATGTGAAGTCGTTTAACTAAAAACTACAATAAAACAGTGAACAGTGAAAAACTGATTTTATTATTAAAACTACAGTTACTTGTCAATAATATTACTTTTAATTTAAGAGTGAAATTTTAATTTTAGTTGAAAACACCAATCGTCATTTGTGCTTAGAGTTAAAAATAAATTAGCCTAAGCGTTTTAACCTAAAGTGAATAAGGTTTTACATTTTGGAAACTAAAATAAACAATACAGTTCAATTTGCAGAAATAACACACGAAGAATATTCTCAAGTATTTGAAGTAGGAAATGAAAATGACCAGAATGGAGGATTACTAAAACAAAGTAGTAATTAAAACTTGACCAAAAAATAGAGTGTCATGAATTATGATAATATTGCGGTGCGTGAAATGGAAACTACTATTGAAAATATTTGACAACTTTTTTTGACAGTCATGACTATGCTGTTGGGTCAAACGGTGCAGAACAAATTATTCATTAGAAATAAAGTGATAGAAATCGATTTTGAATTTTACTATTTTAATTTGAATGTGACATGAAAGCTAATTGGCATGTTTGTAGTGACACAGGGCATACAGATTTGAGCACAATACATATATAATGAAAGCGAAGGAAATACGAGAATAATGGATTATGTTAAATAAAATAATGATTTCTCAACATATTAACTATGTAAAATAATTGTTTAATAAAAAACTGTTGAAATATTTTTATAAAATGTGTTTGGCAAATAATCGAATGTTCATAACGAACAGTTTTCAATGCTGCAAACAATTATTGTACTTAGAATATTTTTGTCATTCGACCAAACGATATTATAATATGATCATCGACCAAAAAAAAATATTAAGCTTAAAATAAGGTTAAGCTTTAAGTTTTCACTGAAGTACTTAATCTACGCAGAGAGAGTTTATAAAAAATTCAATAAATAAAAAAACTGAGTAATGCCTTTTAGTTTGCAGAAAATCTTCTAAAAAATATGTTGTATTGATAAACCCTAAGAACCAAGTACGCCTGGATGATAAATAGGATTATTATTATATTGGTTTTACATGTATTATAGACAAACCATAAAACAGCAAATATATATTAATGACTTTAAAATAATATTTAAAAAAACAAAAGCAAATGATTTAATATTTGAAATATAGAAACCGTTATCATAATATTTAACATATAATTAAAACAATGGAAATGTTCATAATATTTAATGTTATTTAAGTATTTAGGTACTTAAATAACATTTCTTAAATAATAAATTCGAAACATTAATTCTTCTATTAAAATGTTTAATAAAAATTGTTTCATAACATTTTGATAACATTGATATGTTATTGCTGTATGAGGATAAGATAATAATTGTACCATGTCGATTCACTAATTGGCCACACGTTAAGTTATTTAAAAATAATAATTGACCCGGTTACTTTTTAAAACTTCATTACACCAACACGGTCCTGTTCGTTTTAATAAACTTTATTTTAATAACAGAAATCCAATTTATTGTGCTACACTATCTGACCAATCGACGCGGTATTTCGTTACTCGTTACCTAACCGTATATTTATTATTCATCAATTAGGTGTACAAAAATGCTTTGTTACAATTTCACCAAATATGTTGTTGTGATATTAATCATGTTTGACATGCATGGTTTGCTAATAACACCGTATAATGTGATTCGCCCGTTTAAAAACAACTGAATGCAGATAAACATTTTTCTTTTTTAATTGTTCAAAATCATTTGCTTACATAAAAACAATTATTTTCGATGAGTGCTTTTTTATAATACCGAAATAGTTTTTTTTTTTTAAAACATGTGACGCATTCATTAAAACGGCTGTGTGTAGCAAGCATTATTGTGTTGCTTAAAAGATTTCCTAAGATAATTTTCATTTGAACATTTTTCTTTTTAATCCAAACAATCATAATAATATAATATTTACTTTACTATGCAGTGTCCATGATTTAATTTAATTTTAATGATATTGCACTATTATTATAAACAATTTGTGCTTAAACTGTTAAACAATTAGCTCGTCTAAAACATGAAAGGTTGAAACACGAAGAAACAATTTAAATTATATTTATAAATGTTATTCTATTGTTTTCATTTGAATTAATAATATTATTTACAACCACAATTATTTTTATTGGAATAAGCGAACGACGATAAAATGATATTGATAGCATGTGCAAAAATTATTTTGTTTACTTGTCATTTCGAATTATTGCTCATTGGTGTTTTTATTGTTAAATTGTCACTCAAAATTTAGTTTTAAAAAAATACGAGAAAAACAACCTTTTTACAATTAACATACATAATTGAAAATATTTTTTATAAATAAATATTTAAATATATTCTTAAATATTAATTCTCACCATTTATTTTATCAAAAAATGGATATATAGGTAATTTTTAAGAGTATCGCACAATTATATTTTAATATTTTTAAATATTTTATTTAACTATGTTTTACAAGATTTTTTGCT